TGCATTTGATATTGCACTTTATCACATCATCACTGTGCAGTTGTAAGGAAACACAGTAGTTGATTTGCACAAAGCAATGTCCACAAACGGCCATTAGGATGTCAGTCTGGCACAGTTGGTAGCACTCTCATCTCTGAGAATTGTGATTCAAGACCTATGTCAGGAATGCAACTCACAGTCTAGGCTGACACTCCAACATAGTTTTGGAGGAGTGGTGCATTGCCGGAGGTGCTGTCCTTTAGATCAGACGTTTAACCAAGTCCCGTCGGCCTCTTCAGATGGACATTAAAGATCCCATGGCACTAGTTGTAAGGAGAAGGGTGTTTCTTCTGCTGTCCTGGCCAACAATCCCTCAAATAAAATTGGTCATTCACTTCATGACTGTTTGTTTGAAGGTTACTGTGTATAAATTAGCTGCCACATTTATCTACAAACACAAAATCCCTACACTTCACAGCAAAATCCTATGAAGAACTTTGAGCTGCCTTGATGATTTATTGCATTTCTAATATTCACATGATAATCTATAGCTGAAATGGGTTGCCAAGAATGATAGTGCATGCCAGGATACTGAGACTTATTTAAGAAGTTTTAATGGGAGGACAGTGTGACAGGGGTATTCTGAAAGGATGAGATCAAATGGGCTGAAAGCCCTTCTTCATTTGAACCAATCTTGTGAAATTTCAGAAGTTAGGTCACTATCTCCTTCACCTCCCACACATACGGTGTCCTGTTGTCTCATTTTAGACTTGGGAAATGGTGACAAACCCATTTAAATCAGATGCAGTTCGGATTTATTTTTAAGAGTGACAAACTTCAAAACAGGTGATACTTTTTATTTTGGGGCATCAGGCTGGTGTCTGAAACACGTGGAAAACTGTCAGCAGGTTTAATAATCTCCCAACTAAAGCGGTGAAAGTTCAAATACACTCTATGTAGTTTCCAAATGTTTCCTTTGTCCAGAATGGAGTGTACACCGTCACTGTTACCCTATTCTTGCAGGCCGTAGTAATGTGTAAATAACATATATAACTATATAATAGTTTTGAAGGGAAATGGAAAGGCCTGCTCCTTTAAATGGGTTCTGTGGCAGAAGCTATGTGCAAAAGACTTAGCCAACAGGGTACATGAGGTACACAACTTGCAACAATGCATAGGTCCAGGGCTGTTTGATTGACAGTCAGTTAACATGCAGCCTGGAGAGTGGAATTGCACGTGGGCATCAGCGCGGGAAAAAGCCCTCGCATTCGCGTCATACGGTGGCGGAGTTACACGCCTAGAAAGACCAATGCTCAGCACTCCTTCTGGTCGCTAACTAGTGGTCGTCATCTGGTACGTACTGATATGTACAGGGCTACTGTACAGTCAGGTTGGTTTAATATATCTTTACTAATCTTTGTTACAGTTATGTGTGATAGTTATATTTGATCCCATTGTTGAATATCTTAAGTTGTTGTATTCCTTATATGCAAGTTAGCCGAGGGTTGCTGGGTCTTAATAAAGAGCTGTTGTTTCTACTGAATGTATCTCGACTCTCTGTAATATTCTAAAACAAGAAAGAGTAAGCACTTCAGAGTAGCTGTCGACATCAGAGTTCTGGTAGTGTGAGCAGACCCCGATTAGACATCCCAGTTACCGGGCACATGAGTTAACTGGGAATACCAGTCTGAGTGTGTAATTCTGACTTGGTTGAGTCAACTTTGGAACAAGGACTCACCTGACAGGGTTAGGAGAAAGCAGAGAAAATTTAGTACGAAAGCGTTGCTAAAATTTGCATGTACATCAAGGAGTGAAAACTGTCGCATTTGGCACCCAACATGGAGCTCGAGGACATTGAGGTAGAGCTTCAGAATTTATTTCTGCTAGAGTATAAGGATAAGATAATAGTAGATGCAGTAAGCGACCGGATCAAATTACTAACACATAACATTCCGCGTTTCGCTAAACATACAGGGCGAACCCACCGAGAAACACGGTGGGGGAATGGCTATATGAACGAGGCGTAGCTACTACCAATTCAGTAACTCAAGAGAGAATTGGGATTGTAAGAAAACGTAATGAGCCTGACAAAGGAATAGAATATTTAGGAGGAGGCACAGAGCAAAATTGGAAGGGAAACCTCACAAAAACACTCCCTCAGTTAAAACCTAGGATAAAGCCCTTTCTAAGGGACCAGCGGAACGTCTGATAATTGGTTCCGCTCCCAAATTAAGAGCGGAACAGTTTCTGTATTTAAATACGGTGCAGACTATCTCCAAAAGGCACAAATGGGAGCAGCAGTTTTCTCTTTGGTATCAGGGCTAACAGCAGGAATACATTTAACTCAAAAATATAGAGAAAGTGCAAGAAATGCAACAGAGGCTTTTGAGCTACAGAAACAAATGCTTTCTGAAAAATATAGTAACAGAAATAAACATAGCTTTGTGAGTAATGCAGGCTGAGGAGGTGAGTTTGTCCAACCAACAAAGATGTTATGGTGCAATCAAGGTTGGATGAGGCAGGACAGTTGTCCCAAATAACAGAATTAAAACACAGTTAAGTAAGGAGCTCTTAAACGAGAGACCAGAAGTTTTGATGAGTGCAAATTGCCTGCAGGAATAAACCCACATGGCAAATGATAATGGTGTACAGCTAGGGAATCAGCCACACACAGAAAGTGTGCTGGGGCTTAAATCCTTGACAGGCATGATGCCTGAATTTAAAGAAATTGAAAGCTGGTTGGATTCAGTGATATCAATAGCAAAGTTGGTAGTTTTACTGAGTGCAGATTTATTTGTAATCAGTAATTAACAAACGTTGGAGGGACCTGATCAACCCTGAGTGGGATAATTTGGTCATGGTGCTTAGTGAAATTAAACGAATGGTTGTACGAGAAAAAGGGCTTCCAGAGAAAATAGACCGAGTTAGGGCATTAGGAAAGGGACATTCCAGAGTTCTAGCATCCCAAATTACCAAACTATTTTCAAAAGAGCTCTGGGAAGAGATGTTTCTAATGGCACTGCCAAAAGATAGAAAAAGTTTGGTCCTTGCTTTTGATGTAGATCCACGTGAACCAGAGCACTGGGACTTAATAATTAAAAGGTGGAAAACCATTACCGTTTTAATTATTCTGACAATTTATTTGATGAAAACGATAACCCTATATTTAATCGCAGTAAACATTTCAACACGCTGGAACCACCACCCTTGGGTGCACAGGGAGTTAAAATGGTGGAAAGCGGAATGGGGTCTAAGCCTTGTGGCCAGCAGGCCGACCAAATTTATTTTCAGCCGAGAGTCTGGTCGGACTCGGCAGAAAAAATTCAGGATAAGGCAGAGAATTCTCAAATCCCCATGGGTACACGATAGGACGGGCGATCCTTCAGTGGGTGTGAGCTTTGCGAATTGACCCCATGTTCTGGTTATTATATGTGGAAAAATAAATATAAATGGTTTTTATAATGTATAACGGGAAGTCAGTGGAGTCGGGCAAGGATGGGGGTGATAGGGTTACAAAGTCTGGTGCAGGAGGGGGCTTGGGCTGTACGATCTGCAGTCTATGGGAGGGAGGAGTAGGGGAGTTTGCATCGTCAAGCCTGGATGTTATGACTGCGTGTATGAGGGTTTCGGCGGCCTGTGGTGTGAGACATTGGCGGAGCCGGGCGATGTTGCAGAGAAGGGGGATGGCAGAGTGGGTCATGGCATGGATGTGGAGTAGAAAGGATAGTTGAGGGTCAAACAAGACGCCAAGTTGATGAAGTTGAGACGGTGTGAGAGGTATGATCTGAACCATTCAAGGACAGAACCATGAAGGTTGAGGTGAGAGGAGAGGCGGTGGAGGAGGATAGAGTGGTCTACGCTATTGAAAGCAGCAAGGAGGACGAGGAGGCAGAGGGGCCTGGGTTGCACATAGACAAAATGTCATTTGTTATTACAGTTCAAGATCCTGGTCCTGACCTTCAAAGCCCTCCACAGCCTACCTTTCTCCCTGACTTCATAACCCCTTACCAACGTGTCTGCCCCCTCCACTCAGCAGGCTCTGGGCTGCTTCATGTCCCCTGCCATGCCCACCCCACTATTGGCGGGCGGGCCTTCAGCCACTCTGCCCCCACCCTCTGGGACTATCCTACAGTCCCTTTGCCCCCTCCCTTGCCTCCTTCAAGACCTGTCTCAAGACCCTCCTCTTTGACCGTGCCTTCAGTCACCCTCCTTCCCCACCCCACCAGCCCTCCACCCTCCCCACCGGCCCTCCACCCTCCCCGACCCACAGCTTGAGTCTGAAACACTGACTCTCCAGCGCCTTGGGACGTCCTCCCGGCATGAAAGGCGCTTTACGAATGTAATTTTGCTGTTGTAAGAAAGTATGGTCACTTCAAACCACGACCGTTCGTGGGACACTGCTGTGCGCAAGTGGTTGCCGTGTTTTACCCACAAATATACGGGCAATTCACTTTACAGCATATTCTGTGAAGCGCTTTGAGACGTCCGGAAGACGTGATAAGGCGCGATATCAAATACAAAGATTATTATTATTGTTGTAAGGGGTATTGAGTATCGCGCCTCCTCATTGGCTTTAAAAGATGCTGAGGTACCCGCGCTGTGATTGGCTGTGTGCAATGAACGCCAGTGTCGGGGACAGGGCGTGGCTCAGTCCCCGCTGCTGATTGAGCCGCCGGGTCGCTAGGTTCTGCTCTTGTCCAATGAGCGCTTCAGTCGGAGATGGGCTCTTCGGAGACTTGCCAGCGCTGGTTGGCGGATGAACTGTGATCTGCTGATGGTCCGCGCGGTGTTTCCGGCCTCGGTCGACCGGGGCCGCCATTGGCTGCCATTGGCTGCGGCTACAAGGAAGGGGCGGGATGAGGGAGGGGGGGCGAAGCTTACGTGCGATTGGCAGACAGGCAGTCAGGAAAGCGATTGCTGATTGGCCGCCGAACCGGCTGTGCGGCGGTTGGGCTCGCGACTGGCGCTGGGATTGGTTGACGGGGAGGGCGGGGCAGTGCGGGGCGGCGGTTGGGCTCGCGCTGGGGGCTGTCAGTCTCGTGCAGCAGATCAGTGCGTGTCTCACTGAGCGACTGTAGCCCGCGGCTGGTGCTCGCTCGGAGGGTTTTCTTTCCCCCCCTTTTCCCTCCCCTTTCCTCAGTCACCCCTCCCCCGAACCCCGCTCCTGCGCCCTCACCCGTGACCTTCCACCCTCCTCCTTCTCCTCGGCCCTCCTCCATCGGGTGACTGTCACGCTCGGACGGGACACACAAGGACTCTCGTCGATCCCCCCCTCCCTCTTCTCCCTCCCTCTTCTCCCGCCCCAACGGCTCCTCGTATCCGGGACACCGGCAGGTTCCCGCTCCCCTGACCTGACCCGCCCTTGTTCCCGGCACTGTTCCTCTCCTGCCCGGACGTTGGACTCGGTGAGTTTCATTCTCTCTCTCTCTCTCTCCCCCTGGAGGGAGCTTTCAGTGTTGGTGATGTTGCACTTTTGGACTCCTGGATTCTTCTAGTGAATGAGGGTATCGACGTGTCCCAAGTCACTGCTCCATAGTTCTGCTCCCAAAGTTGCTTGTGTTTTATTCTTATTTGTGCCTTAAGTAGGTGATCGCTGAGGATATTGGCACGTATGAGTGAGTGTGCTCTGGGCATGTTGGCACTTGTCCTGTGTGTGAGCATGTCCTGGCTATGTTGGCACTCGCCCTGTGTATGTCTATGTGTGCCCCTTTAGTGGGCTCCGGCCTGCTTCACGTCCCCTGCCCGCCTCACCGTTGGCAGGCCGGCCTACTGTTACTCTGCTTCCCCCTGGAACTCCATCCTGCAGTCCGCCCGCCCACCCCCCCCACCCCCCGCCCTTCTTTTGCTTCCTTTCAAGACCCTCCTCTTTAACAGTGCTTTCGATCACCCTCCTTCCACCCCCTGCCTTCCACCCTCCCCGATGACGACCCCCAGCTCGGGTCCAAAACACTGATTGTCCAGTGCCTTGGGTCATCCTCCCAATGCGAAAGACGCTAAATAAGTGCAATTTTGTTGTCGTTGTTGTCCTGGGTGTGTCAGTGTGCCCTGGGCGTGTCAACACTCACCACATGTGTGAACGTGCCCTGGGCGTGTCAGCACTCGCCACATGTGTGAGCGTGCCCTGGGCGTGTCAGCACTCGCCACATGTGTGAGCGTGCCCTGGGCGTGTCAGCACTCGCCACATGTGTGAGCGTGCCCTGGGCGTGTCAGCAATCGCCACATGCGTGAGCGTGCCCTGGGCGTGTCAGCACTCGCCACGTGTGTGAGCGTGCCCTGGGCGTGTCAGCACTCGCCACATGTGTGAGCGTGCCCTGGGCGTGTCAGCACTCGTCACATGTGTGAGCGTGCCCTGGGTGTGTCAGCACTCGCCACATGTGGTGTGAGCGTGCCCTGGGCCTGCCTGCTTTTGCCGCATTTGTCTGAGCGTGCCCTGGGCTTATCAGCACTCGCCAGACGTGTCGGCACTTGCCGCATGTGTGTGCATGCCCTGGGTGTGTCAGCATTGTGTAAGAGTATCTTGGGCGTGTAATGTGTGAGTCCCTGGGTGTGTTGGCACTCACTAATTGTGAGAGGGGCTAGGCATATAGTCACTTGTCATGTGTGAGACACAGGCCATATCGGCACTTACAATATGTGTTGAATCCTGAATGTGTCAGCACTCACCGTAAGTGTGAATGTGGCTGGACCTGTTGCCATTGATGAATGTTAGGCCCAGGTCTCTCGTCTTGTGATTTTAACTTGGGAGAGGGGGAGGAAAGAAAAAGTTTCAGAATGACTTATTTGTTCGAAGTATATTAGAATTTTTTTTAATGATGTTGAAATATCCCTCCCTCCGCTCAGCAGGCTCCGGCCTGCTCCATGTCTCCCACCTGGCCTACCCCATCATCGGCGGTCGGGCCTTCAGCCTCTCTGCCCCCACCCTTTGGAACTCCATCCTACATTCCCTTCGCCTCGCTCCCTCCCTTACATCTATCAAAACACGCCTCAAGACCGCCCTCTTAGACTGTGTCTTCAGCCACTCTTATGCTTTCCACTCTCCCTGATCTCTCCCTCCCCGCCTTGGGTCCACATCTTTGACTGGCCAGCGCCTTGGGATGTCCTCCCGACATGAAAGGCGTAATTTTGTATTGTATCCTCTGGACTGGCCTGATAGCTGATCTTGAAACACCTGACCTAGGACAGAAAAATATACATAGACAGAACAGAATACATAGTTCTGCTGACTATGCAGTAATACCCAACCTTTGCTAATGTAGTGGATACTGATGACCCTTGAAACTCAATATTTCAACAGTGGTTTCATATATGTTTAAAACTATTTTCTTGATTTTGAACTGAAACTAATTTCCTTCCCCTTTAATCAAACCTATATAGTACAGTATAGTATGCAAATAAATGCATAAAAGTTGAACAGTGCCAATTGTAGCTGTTTAAAAAGTATCTGCCTACTGCAATTTGGTTACATATCTTAAATATGTAAAAATATTATATAATTTAAGGGCTCCAGGAGTATAAACATAACTGTTCACTTTGGATGTTTCTCATATACAGTGGTGGGAAACAAAAGTGGAAAAACTGCTTTCATTAAACAGGAAATCTTAGCATTGTTTCCAGCCTAAATATATGCAAATAGTTTTCTATTTAAAATTGCGGTTACCTGTTTGCCACTTGGATCTCAATCTTTTCAGTAACGCTGCTGTATTCTAAAATGTGAGTTCACATAGAGCAAGTACCATTGAAGTGCTAGGGAAAGTCTAGCAGATTTGTTGGTAACCATCAATTGTTTAGTTATCCTCTGAATCGTAGTATCTTACACAACACGTGTATATATTTGTAAAGCAAGTTTACAAAACACTACTATACCACATTGATACTTTTAAGAAAACATTTTGTTTCTTAAAATCGATTAAAGATAAACATTTTGTAAAGAGACTATTCTGGTAATTTATTGGGTCACTCATTCCATGGCTGTTTGTGGGACACTGCTGGGTGCAAACTGGCTGCGTTTCACCCACAAAATAGTCAATCCGCTCTACAGTATACCCTATGAAGCGCTTTGAGGCATCTCGGCAACGTGATAAGGTGCTATATCACATGCAGGATTATCATTAATTTTCTAAATAATAAATGACTTGTAAAGTGTATCTTTTCAACTTTGCTTTTGCCAATATCATTGTCGATAGAGGTTTGAAGAATTACCAGGTCAGAAAGAGTGAGATTAGCAGTCAGTTGCTAGAGTGTTTCAGCAATTTTGCCATTTCAATGTTATATGCTAATTCAGTTCCCTTGTGCTGTACATATTGAGGGTTAAGATAGTTCTGATGGTCTCAAAATGTTTCCAAACTTAAGAGCAAAATTTTACATCAAGTTAAGATTTCACGTTGAGAGTACATGGGTCAATTGGGATAGCTATTGGGAGTCGCTGACTTTTATTTTGAGCCTTAAGCCTAAAGGGATTAACTTCAATTGTGAGAACTCCCGCCCTGGTTCAGAGCATCAAAATCAACATATTGGTGATTATATGTGTGACATTTCTGCCGTCTATGACTTGTGCCATATCAGTTGATGTATTAGCACACTATAGAGTTGAGGAAACCTAATTTCATTAAAACAATTATCATTGAACATTTTAAACTTGGTTATAATACACTTCTAAGAAATGAAAAATAGTAAATATCTTGGGTGGCGTGGTCTTGCACAGGAGGAGCCTGTCATAATATGCCATAAGAATAGCCGGAAAACAATATGCCACATGTTCGGTTACCAGAACTATGTCACAGTGAGATGCAAAATGAGATTTTAACAGACGGTTGTTTTTTGTATCATCTTGTTGATCACTTCAGGAGGAGCTATTGAGGAGTGTAAGGTAACTGAATTAGCATAATGCTTTGTTATCTGGTGAGCTGTTGAATTGGATACAATGCTTCCTTAGTGTATGCAAATGGCATGTTGTGAATGGATGCTTTATTGCAAATCCTGGGGGGTCTTCAGGGATCTGTGCTTGGTTTTATTCAGTTATGTTTCACCAGTGCATCCGGTGTCATCAAAGTGTTGAAAGCTAGCAGAGCAACAACTACAACAACTTGCAATTGTATATAGCGCCCTTCACGTGGGGTAACATTTTGAGAGCAGTTGCCAAATCTTTGATTAAGTATAGAATTTTAACAGTGAATTTAAAAATCATCTCCCAATCTCTGGGATACATACCTAAGTCAACTGTACAGAAGGCTCAACCAAACTATCTATGTTGCATTCCAACAACTATTTTCATTTATATAGTATTATTCGTGCAGGATACTATATAAATCTAGACGTCTCAAAGCGCTTCACAGAATATACTGAGTTGACTGTATATTTTGTGGGCAAAACACAGTAGCCAATTGTGCATAGCAGTGCCCCACAAACGGATTGACTGACCATATTATTATTTATTTTTGGAAGGGATTATTACCTCCAGAAAAGCGATCCGTCAATTGACTAACAACTAGGTTCCTACTCATTGCGAAGTACACGGAGGCGTGTGGAGTAAGGAAACTCGCCCAAGTTTCCCTGTGCCCGGGAATCAAACCCAGGTCCTCTCACTTGCAAGGCGAGTGCCCTAACCACTAAGCTACAGGTTTCCACAATGGCAATGTCCCACAAACAGCCAATAAAGTTAGTGACCAATTTTATTTTGGGACACTAGGGCACTTGAGTAGTGCCATGGTATCTTTAACATCTACCAAAGAGACAGATGGGACCTCGGTTTAACATCTCATCCAAAAGGTGGCACTTCCGAGACTGCAGCACACCTCCACCGCTGTATTGGAGCGTCAGCCTAGAGCCCTAGATCCTATGAGTTCTGAGTCCCAACATGGGGTTTGAATCCACAACCTTGAACAGAGGTATTTGTCGCCAGAGAAAAAATGTTGAATCACTAGAGAAGTTTAACTTATAAATGGGTTCAATGGCTGTTTCCACTGGATGGAGAGTCCATAACCAGGGGACATAAACATAAGATAACTAGGGATCTAAAAGAGAATTTAGTAGGAATTACTTCATGTGGAGGGTAGTGAGATTGTGGAACTGATGGACAGATGGTCGAATCAGATAAGTTCTAGAGGAAACTAGACCTTCATGTGAGGGAGATGGGAATAGAGGGGTATGGGAGGGAGTAACGAATGGGTGAAGACTTGTGTAGAGTATCGTATAAACACTGGCATGGACTAGTTTGGCCAAGTGGCCTGTTTCTGTGCTGTACGTTCTTTTTAATTCTCTTTGTAGTTCTTTGGAACCTTCTAATTTGGTGCTGAGAGTGCTACCAACTGAACTAGGCTGACATCGGATATTAAGAGGTATCATCCGGTACAGTGCAGCATTTTCTGATGTGCCATCCTTTGCATGAGATGTTGAATCAAGGTCCTGT